CCCCCCCAAGGAAGCGCAACAACATGGATACAGTCTGCCGAGTCGGTAGTGCGGGTGTGCGTGGTACCTCTCCGCCGTTCACATACTCCATGACGAAACAGAGGCGGTCTTTTGTCTGGAAGGAATACTTCAGTGACTGAAAGGAAGACAACAAAGAGACGTTGTGAAAGCACGACAGGCTCTCGGCGCAACTCGTTGCCTTCGCCTCGCTGTTTATTCGGACACAAAGGAGAAGCGCGCGCGTGACTTTGACCGACTCGAATGTCGTTGCTCGTTCAAGCGTGAAAACAGCAGGCGCAACAAACAAAACTCCGCGAGCGCCCGTCGCTTCGTCTCCACCTGCAATCATGTGACGAGTGCTGACTTTGAAGGATGGAGGCGCTCGACAAAAGAACAGTTGGGCTTTGCGTCTCTTTGCGGCTGCAGATGTGACAGTGGTAGGCAAAAAAAAAAAGGATGTGGAGCAGACGGGCTGCCACAGAACTTCGCGGGAGCTGATGTGTCGGCGCACCAAACACCAAACGGCTAACAGATGCGTCCATTATTGTACCACAATGTGACGGCCGCCGCGTAATTAGCCTCCAGAGACTCGGGTACGTATAGGATCAATACGCCGCCTCGCGCGTGTGCGCGTTTGTTCGCGTGTGTGTGCAGATGTAGCACGTTTGCATGTGCGCCCGCAGCACGTGCGAAACTCGCCCTGCAAAAGCGGCACGCACGCATGCGACTTACGGTGAGAAAGGGGTGTCTGGTGTTTTTCAGGACTCGGCTCTCGGTCAGCGTGTGCGCCACCTCGTCCTGCCAACGTGACACGACGACAGCATGACAGAGCGTCACAGACATTCAGGCAACGCGGCTCAACGTGACAAGCGTCGGAATTGTTCAAATCCACTCAAGCGCTCTTCATTTCCCAAAAGTAAGATCATGCCAGTCTTGTTCTTTCCATACTCTTCGTGTCATGTTAGCTTAGCGGTTAGCGTGAGTTCTCCCTCACGTCTCGTGACCTCGTCCTCGTCGTCGTTTTGGGAGAGCGAGAGCTCTCCAAGTGTACTGTGGCTTATTCGCCGCTTTTGCGTTTAGCTGCGCTCGCGAGCTCGGAACTTTCTGCCGAGCGTTCCGAAGAACGACCCCAAAAAAAAGCTTCCGGCTTCGTACTCGGCCACGCGGTTCCACTCAGACGTGGTCACGTTGACATTGTCCAGGTCGGGAGATCGCACTCGTGTAGCGTAGGCTCATTCGCGGCGGCTAACGGCATCGGCATAGCCGACGGGAATGAGAAGCCGCGGGTTTGATTCCAACTCTCAATTAAAAGCGTTGGATGGCTTCAGGCGGCGGAGATGCCGTGGCGTCAGGAACGTTCTCGGGCTGGTTCCGAGCAAGCGGCCTCAAAGGACTGACCTTGGCGATGATGACTTCCTTCTTTAAAATCTTCATGGCGTAGTATTTCCCGCTGGCCTTTTCCCGGACCAGAATCACTTTGCCAAAGGTTCCCTTTCCGAGCAGCTTCAGGTAGTCGAAGTCGCTCATTGTCTGGATGGAACAAAGAAAAAGTTGAAGGGTGAGTGGAAACCCAGCGCTTGAGAGCTCTCTCAACAATTGCGTGGGAACGAGGTGGCCGGTCCTAATTGCTGAGGAACGGGGTGCGCATCTCGAGTCTCACACACGCACACACGCAGGCGGGCGGACGGCGGGAAACGTGGCTGGAGAGCCAAATTCCGCAGGCGTCGGGAGGATGATTTCGCTGCTTTTTGTTTTGGCGAATGACTGCGGCGCATCTGCCGAGGACACCTGCTTCCAAGCGGGGCTCATTTGGGGGAAGGAGTCAAAGCGCTGGCGCCGGCCCAAAAGGCCGGCCAGCCGGCCGGCCGGCTTCAAACCCGAACGCCCGACTCCCGGAACATTTTGCTCCACAAATCTTTCCCTGCGAGTTTTGGGGCGGGCCGTTCCGCTCGCCGGCGCTACCTTGCGTTTGTGCTGCGCGGCGGAGACGTCCATCTCCTCCTCCGCCATGTTGTCCACGTTGCAAGTGGGGCTGCGCCGGATCCTCTCCTCCTCTTGCTTCTGCAGCTTGTCCGCCACCATCTGGATGGCCTCCGTCCACTCGTCCCTGCCGGGAGAGCGCGCCGCGCTTAGTGGACCCGGCGAGCGCCGCTTCTCGGGCAGGAGAACGGACGCCGACCCGCCGGCATTTCGCCGAGAGGGAAATCCAAACACGTGAACGATGATCACGGAGCCGGCCGGAGGAACGCCTGCGTTTTTTTTCAAAGGCGTTAACTCGGTCGTTACGAGACTTTGGCCGGGTTCTTTCCCGGCCGATCTTCGCGCAAAGCGCCGCGTTCCGGGGTTAGGCCGGAGCAACGAGCGAAATACGGCGGCAATTTGCGCTGGGAATAATGAAAGCTCTTTGAGTCCCAAATGATTCAACTGGGAGCCGCGTGCCCATATGTTGCCCGTGGGGATTTGGAAGAACATCTAACTGGGCCCAAACGGCGCTTCCGACTTGACGTTTCAAGATCTGAGTGCCTTTGGAGGGCAAAGACTCGCCGGCGTAGCCTACGCGCTCCACAACAAGGGCAAACGCTTCTGCCGCTCGACAACAACGGAGCACTCGGTCGGCCGCCTTGCCGCGCGGCGAGATGAAAAGCAACGGAAACGCTCTCAAGGTCACCAAGCTCGCTCGCTCGCTCTCTCCCTTGGTTTGGGTGTTTGCACTAAAATGAGGGTTTTTCTTTTTTTTTTTTTTTTTGGCGTTGTTGTTTTTTGCTAATGAGAGCTAACGTGCCCGTCTACAGTCGGGCGTCTCGCCAGCATGTGAGCGGCTGGAGCGCTGCCAGTACAGTGCGGCGGATACAGTCAAAAGCGCAGAGACACCTTGGAGGACACTTTTCGCGCCGCGCAGCTGGATCGGATGTTTACGCCTGACTTTTATCGTTACGATATTCTTTTGTGTTAATTACCGTCGGTTTATTTGATCAACTAGGCACCGAGCTATTAGCGAGCGGCGCTCGCGCGCGCGCGCGCGCGCACGCACACACGCGGTGCAGTGAAAAGGATGCAGAGGAGCATCTGTGGTCTTCTGGGCAAAGCTGTTCATTTTCTGGAGATAAACACCTCAGCTCCTTAGAAAGCAAGCGAGCAGCTGGAGAATTTATGCCGACGCGACTTGAAAGGTCTCCTCTCCCGCCTCGAGCGCGCCGTACATTCGCACGCGCCGAGTCCTACCTGTGCCCTTGATGAAAGCGACGCAACATCGTCAACGACGTACTTCCGTCGGCTCGCATACTTTCCTTCCGAAGGTTTCGGGGGCAAAAGTCAAACGGCGAATTGGCCGACCTCTCGTCGGGGGAGTCCACGTGGAAGGTCCTCTCGATGACGGTGGTCCACTGGAGGCAGCGTATGATGAAGGTGTTGGGCTTGGGCCTCTCCGTCTTCATCAGCTGGCATTCTGCGGGCGAGACGCGAGGCTTGCTGAGCAAAATGCACGGCGAGTGGAAAGAC